CTAGGCGTCCTGAGAAAACCCCAAAGTTTGAGGCCTTCTGTGCCAAATGACAGGCTCTCAGGACTGTGCAGAGGACTTGTGTAGTTTTGCCAGAGAAGATAGTGTGAGATATAGTTTGAGTGTCAATACATATAGGCAAAGGATTTTCTCTTTTGTTAGACCGGCTTTCTCTCATTCACTAGACATAATATTAGCTTCTCAGAATGGATTTTGCTCAAGCTCATATAAACAGAAATGAAGTTTGAAGTCTACTTCAGATTCCTGCTCATTGTTGATGTGAAAGATGTATACCATTCCTATATATATTTCTTAAGTGCTTCCCACATCAGATTTTAAAAAATAGAGACGTGCATAAACCCAGCTGTAGTTTTCTCATTGGAAAAGCAATAAGGCAGTTTGGTAAATTGCATATTTCTTCAACAGAGAGATTCATGCAGAACAAATGCTTTTGTTAAGAAAGTGAACAGCAACAGAGAGTTTATCCTTGATATAAAACACTCCATGAAAAGAGATCAGTGCTTCTGAGCATGAGAGAACCACTTGTATCAGTCAAGCTTTCTAAGTACGCAGCTGCTATATATATCATTTGTAAGACTGCCATGCAGTAGTTTGCATGCAGCTTATCAACTGAAATTAGTTCATTCAATTTTTGAGAGGCCAGTTCAAATGAAGCATTCCTTGGAGTTCTTCAGCTAGCAGACACAATAAAACTGTAAAATAACAACACTATTATGTTTTGATTATAATTACAGTACTCTGTTTGTTAAAATGCAATTATACAGAAGCAGCACAGTTAACTGCCGCTTCTCCCCAAATTCTCTGGCCTTAATCATCCCTTTAGGACACCATCTCAGCAAAGATATTCTTTCCTAATACTCCCTCATCTCCTCTGCTAATGGCTGTTGGATTGAGGACATGTTTTTGATATTCTCCGTGTACCTCTGCCACCTCTGTTTCATTCAGAGTCTGCTGAAAGAAAAGGTGAATAAATCAGAAAATACGCAATCACAAGGGAGGGCGTATGTGCGTTCTCGGTCTTGGTAATCCACCGTGTGACCGTGCACCTCCTTCACCTCTCCCCAGTGCCTGAACATATGAAAGCTGGAAGAGGCTTACAGTGAGCTGCAATGCAGTGGCAAGTGGAGTCCAGCATTACCAGTCACTTCTGTTCTCTGCTTTTGTTGCTGGTTTTAGCTTGAAATTACTATCTCCAGGATTCTAAGAGCAATTTTCTAATAAAAATTTGAAAAACAAATCAGATGTGTATTTTAGTTGTATTTTACTGGTAGGGTAGGCTATAATATACTGAGAGTAACAAGCATTTTGTGAGATCTGGCAATAGAGTGAGTAGGTTTTGAGGCTGCTAGTTTCGCTATATGTCTGCTGGGCCCTCTTGCTTCTGGCTTATTTCAGCATACAAAGTTTTTTTGCTGTGAAAAAAAAAATCCAGAATGGCTTTTCCTCACCAAGGGAATACTTTTACTTGATAGCTCAATTGCTTCCTTTAAATTTTTCAAGATATATTTCATTATCTTTGTTGTCTTCCTGAAATATACTCTTTTTTAAATACATAATTACCTGCTTTGTCCTTCCACTTTTTCCATCTTATTCCACAAATACAACTTTTGGAAAACACGGATGATTAATTTAATAAGCTATTCAGCTAAAAATGTTCATATTAATTTTAGAATTAAAGATGGCTTTATGAATTTAGTGTTTGATGATGAATTTTCTTAGTATTAATTTGAGGCATGGTGAGGGTTCCACACCTCTATACAAGCAGCACCTTCAGCTAATTTACAAATATACAATACAAGTAGTCTGCAATTTAGGGAATATAGTCAATATTTAAGGAATAGTACATTCCCTTAGAAATCAGACACCACATCTTCCTTTCACAGTGATAAATTCAGTACCTTTAAAGTCAAACTCCATTCCCCTCGTGGACTCATTCTCATGGTTTATGGGTCCCCCCTGTTGCTCTTGTGGCAGTCAACACCAGACAATATAATTTCATTAAATAGGGTATATAAGGGAACAGGAGTTATCTCAATAAATGCAGTCTCACTATCTTGCACCTGCCAATAACTCTTAAAATTTCCTTCCTATTATTTGAAGATTAACAGCCGTAAAAGTATTTTCTATCTGTCAGTTCACAAACAGGTCTTTAACTTTTAAAGTAAATGTAATTACAAGTTAAGAGTTGTGTTGACTGAAGCCTTTTAATACTCAGTAGATAAAAGGAATAGGAAAAAGTGACTAAAGCTAAAACTACCAGAATGTTGCTACTGTCCAGCTGGCTGATCTATAGTGGTGCATCTTGCCAATATCTTTCTCTCTTCATTCAGCTGAACAGAAATTAAACAGATTATTTTATACTGAACAATAGTCAAGTTCATCCTTGCATATCACCTACTTTTTCTCTGGTTGATGTTAGTAGCTTGTTTAGTTATAGTCTTACTGTTCTATATAGCAAATGCTTTCATTCAGTAATTGTGTGGCATGGATCCAGCATTTTAAAACAGAATATTCATACAGCTGGATTGAGTTGAAGATCTTAATAATCTATATCTTACTTGATAATGTCCTCTGTCATCTAGGGGTTTACAGTAACTTTCAATTTCTATTAAGGAAAAAAGTGAAAGAAAATTAAACTTGTAAAGTGCACCATTTGATTGCGTTATAATTGAGCCATGGTGTCTTATTTCACTGAGAAATAACAGTATTGTTTCATGTTTCAGTAGTTTATGCATTAACTATTCTCAATTACATCTTTGGCCAGAATACTGGTTAGCAATTTGAATGCATTTCAGAACTATAATGTAGTTGTTCCTTTGAAATATTGCATGCAGTTACATCATACTTTCTTGACTGTCACAGCTAACCTAACACATTTGAAGTCCTAATCTGTGAAGGACAACCAGTTACTGAGGAAGTAGGCTTTGGATCTTTGGACTCTATGTGGGACTATCTGCATATGTAGATACGGAATGGATGTTCAGTCATTAGAATAGAAAAATCATGATTTTAAAGAAGGCTCAATCTTCAGCTGTGCTGAGCTTTTCTGAATGCTGTGTGCATTCAGCACTCATGAGAAAAATTAGCTGTAGCTGAAGAAGTATGAGAATGTATTAAAGGCATCATCAGAGAGTATCCCTTGTGAAATCTTTAGTTCATTTTTTTTTTTTTTGCAATCCACAATAAGATGGCAATCCAACATAAAGAGTTGCCTCAGGCAAAAAAAATAACTTATTTCCCCAAAAAGAAAGAGTTATGAGAAAAGTTTTAATTAATAGTCATTTTATACTTGCACAGGTTAACAACAGTAGTCTTCATAGCTGGTGCAAATATCTGGAACAATCTTTTGCTTAAAAGTTGTACTTACCAACAGAAGAGAGCTGCTTCCTATTTTATATACCTACAGTATTTGGATAAGACTTCTCTTAGAGAAGCAATGGACAATAATGCCTCTTGGATAAATACCTAGAAAACAAAGAAATAATGGAAAGATTTTCCTGTACGTAGCTGCCACTTCCTTAGGTATAGCCTGTTTCTTCTTGAAGTAGTAGCAGACAAGTTCTCTACCTCATCTACACGTTCTTTCATTTGGTGGCATACTTTATTAAATTAAAAGTTATTGTAGAGCTTGTTCTTCTTCATACCTATACTTATATATTATTCTGCATATCTGCAGAGCTCTCTGTGTCAGATGGCTATAAAAAGCAGTTTTCCATGTTCTTATAGTACAGATGTACAGATGTAGGTGGTGGAATTATAGAAAAACATGTAATAAGTCAAAGCCCAAAAACCATCTGGTCAGAATGAAAACTCATGAGTACCCCCCTCCAAACCTGGGGACTAAAAGAAGAATCTCACAGTTTCTTATCTGTAATAATCCAAGCTATTAAATCATCCACTTGGAATATAAATTGGTTCCTAAGTTTACCAAGAGTTCCTGAACTAGGCTTCTCAGCCAAACTTAGGTAATCAGCTGCAGAAGCATTTTTCTAGTCATATTGCAAAGTTGCAGAAAGTAGAAATAAAAATTAGGGTGCAGGAGAAAATCAGGGTACACAAATATGTGAAGTTTATGAACCTTTTCCAATGAGCAAGAGGAATTCCTGTTTCTTTCCATCATCCAACTAGAAATCCAACTAGAAAAAAGTGTTTCCTTTCAGAAATATCTAAGATTATTTTACTTGTATTGCAACAGTAAATGAGATATTTTTAAACAGAATGTAATAGCTATTTACCTTGAATTATTATGCACGCACTGACAAAATTGTTGGGCTGGAGGCTATAATTTAAATGTTTGATTTACAAGGTGTTTAAAGAGTCTCCCTTATGCATAGATCAAGATACCATTTAAAAAATCTTGTAGAGCAATCAAGTAGACTCAATATGTTGGAAGGTAGTGGCTTAGCTGCTAGACCATAACTTCCGTAGTTTGTTTTTGTTAGTCATGAAAACCTGGAAATGCTTAAAATCTGCATACAGTTTTAACTACAGTATATTTCATGTTTACCTAAAACAAGATATTTTTGTAATTATTTCTCATGTATAGAAGCTAGATCACACAAACAGATCCCAGAATTCTATTACACATACTATTACTTGTTTGAACTATGACCTTTTCTTTGCCTCCACTAAAAAATGAGACAGATTATTACTCTGATTTTTGTTGTAAGGTTTTTCTTTTCTTTCTGTAGATAAAGAACTCTGTACAGATAAAAAGGAATTGCCATTTCTACATCCATTCTCATGCAGATTTCTATTTCCAGTCATTGGGTTTTTTTTTTTGTTTTGTTTTTCTTTTTTTCAGTATAGTGGTTGTCTGTTAATTAGTGTGTACAATCTCAGCACAAAGAAAGCCTTGAAAAGAATTTTAGAACTTCCTATACTTGGATTTTTAAACACATCCTAAATTTTCTGTAATAAATTTACAATTTGTACTTGTCTGTTTTCTGATTTGTACTTGTTTGCTTGTCTGTTGACTCACAATGTGGTCCTTTCTGCAGTGCTCAGGAGAAATGGAACTCAATATGTCAAAGGTGAGTTCTGTATAAAACTAAGATACAACTTCCATTATGATCTGATTTACTGTGTTTTTTTCCCTCTCAGGAGGATACAGATCATAATTATTATACTTCAAGGACATATGGCCCTTATGATTCTACCAGCCGGGATCTGTGGGTCAACATAGACCAAATGGAGAAGGACAAAGTAAAGATCCATGGGATTCTTTCCAATACCCATCGGCAGGCAGCAGTAAGTTACTGTACTTTTATATTTTTCTTCTTTGACTGACATGGATATTTTTCACCTGTGACTGACATAACTGCATTGATCCAAGTATCGTGACTACTGTTCACAGAGCTTCATCTTTGGATTTATAGTTAAGCTATGTAAGTCTGTACAGTGCTACTATAAAAAGATGCCAAGCTGCCTTTCCACAACTGCTATAACAAGCCATTCAGAGATGTCTGTCCAGATTTACTTTAATTTCACCTCTCCTTTAGGGTGAGCTCACAACTTATCAAACTAATCATGCTGTTGAAGTCAGATGGAGTTTTGCCATTGACTTTAAGCAACAGAACTGGGTTCACAATTAAGTTGCTGAAGTCTGCCATAGAACATATCTGTGTTCCTTTGTATAAGGTGGGATTTTTTCCTTTGTTCGTTGGATTGTTTTTGTGAAGAACAAGACACATGGCTTGCAAGCAAGATATGTCCATGTGTACTATATAGCTAGGTCACTGAAAAAAGGCATGTTCTATCAGTAGTTTAGATATTTCACAGGAAAGTTAGAAAGGTTCTTTTTAACTCTTTCTGCTTTTAGTATCATCTGCATAATTCATTCTCTACTCATCTAGTGTAGGGGGCCAGAATTTCAATTCAGAGAAGATGTATTTTAAAGAATCAAAATACTAATTTTAATGAATTGGAAATCTAATCTTGAATATTGAAGAGCGGCCTACAGCTCTCTTGACCCTGTCACTGCTTTTTGCTTTCTTTCAGCCTTTCAAGATTTTTTCTCCCTGTGGAAAAAACAGGAAACTGTAAAACTACTGTAGCGTCAAATATCCAGAGACATAATAGATACATAACTAAGCAGAAATGCTTTTCATTCTCTTCCACAGAGAAGGGAATTGAATTTGTCATTCCTCCTTAAAAAGGGCATTCCACACATCTTTCTGTGACTTGGTGCTTATAATTTCTGAATATTACTCTCCAGCTTTGTCAGGAGAATAAGGAATTAAATTTATTAAAGGCTGATTATTAATACAGTTACTTGTAATGTGGGAGGAATCACTGAATGCTAAAAATTTTAAATGTTGATGTACAATCTTGTAAACTGCTAGAAATTTGAGTTCATGGTGGATTTTTAAGGGTAATTTTATAAAACAGTGAACCAAAAACATTCACTGAACCTTTAATTTTCCCCAGATTTTCAGAAAGATTCAGATATGACCTCTAGTTCCAATGAGTTAAATTTAGAAGGAAAAAAAAGTTAAACGTGTCATTTTTATTGAATAGGACATCAGCTTTTTAAATTATTTAATAATATATAATAAAATATGATTTAGATATGATCTCATATGTAAGGTTTCTGTTACATACTTTTTCATTTCACTGCCTTATTAGAGGGAATTTATTTGGATTAATTTCATTAGAAGTAAAAAAGTAATCATGAAAAAAGTCATAATTTGTGAATTGAAAGGATGTTTGAAAAGAAAGTATAGAATATGTAGTGCTACATGCACAAGTCCTTTTGTTTTTAAAGTTAGATACCTCTCTTTTTCCATCTGTGTGTCTTTAAGGTCTACATCAGTGATGCAGTCAGAAACTGGTATTTTTTGACATGCCAATGGTTGCCTTTGTACATTCAATGTAACTCTTTTTGGAGAATAATAAGAATTCTCATATCTTCTACTTTTCTGTGATTATTTCAAAAATAAGAGAACTGGAAAGACAAAAATAACTCTTGTCCTAACACTGAATTTTTGTTTTTCTTCATTCAGAAGAATAATCTTAATTCAGATTTATAGTTTTAGGAATTGCCATAAGCTTCCAGTCTTTTTTGCACCACTGGGGAAAAGGAATAAAAAGCGGATGAGGTGGTTTGGCCTTGTAAACAGCATAATCAATGTCTGATAAATTTAATAAGCTAATACTAATGGAAAAAAATATGTATCAACAAAAGATTTATGCCACTAATAGTGTGTTTTTCCCTGATCCATTGCCACCATCTTTTCAATTTATAGTAGAAGTTTATGTGTGACTTGGATGCTGAGTGTGTTTAGACAACTAGTAGTAAATTAGTCAAACACTGAAGTAGCTATAGAAGCACTTCGTTCTTGTGAACCTCAGTTCTCTTTCATGTCATTTCATTCTATCATTTATGCACAAAAAAAAGAATGTCTCCTGCATGGGTTAAAAGTTAAGGGACTCTTTCTGAAAAAAGAGTTAAGCAGGCAAAATAGAAACAATCTTATGTTTGGTGACCATTATAATCTTACACTTAAAATCATTTCTGAAATCTTATTGGCTCTTTATCACAATATCATGATAAATAGTTGTCTATACTAAATCTGCAACATTTTCAGTATATAGCACATTGCAGTGGATTAGAGATCTATATCTGGCTTGTGTGGTCATAGGATCAAGTCTTTATATAATGCAGTGAATTATTGAATATATTAATGAATATATCAATGCTATAGAGTTCAAGGGGACTGTTAACAAGTGCAGTGATCTTTCAAAGCAAATGATTGTCCTGTTATTAAGAAAGTTAGTGCTAATAGGTAAAATGGACAGTAGGGTATGAAAGAAAGAGGGATGGTTTGGTCAGAAAAATTGGCCCTTTTAATTGTGTTCTTTGAAATGATGAGTGATAGAATAAGCATGTAAATTTTTCAGCAGCAAAAAAATTAGATCATGAGCAAAACAAAACAAGCAGTTTCTTAAGTTAATTCATGAGGTATCTTCTACATATGTTGTATTGATTAGAAATCTTCATTTGTATATATGTATTTATACACATACAGAAAAGGTCTTTTTTGTATTCTACTCAGTTCAATTAACACAATGTAAATGGAATTTGCATTCCAATTAAAAAAAGTGCTAATAAATTCTATCAAAATTCTGACTTCCACTTAAGTGGAAAGAAAATCTAATTTAAAGTTACTATAAATCTTCAATTATTAATTTCATGCCAAATAATTCTTTAAACATTTCTGGTGGATGTAAAGTATAACTCTTTCTGTGGGAAGAAATAATCAGATAAAATCCAGAAGCAATAAGCCAAGATATCATATGAGTAATTTTGGGGGAAAGCTGAAAAGAAACATTATTTATTTATTTATTTATTTATTTAAATATAGACTGTTGTCCTTCCTTAAGTGGAGACATCAAAGGTAGGATTGGGGGATTTTCACCAGTAGCTCGGCCAGCATTTCCTTGTTAAAAAAAAATATTCTATAAATTCCTCTTAAGTAGGAAATACTATTGCTTTGCATACTTCTATCCTAGTTATGTAGCTACTTGAAACCCAAATAGCAAGTGCTATGTATTTATGGGATATAACATTTAGGCTGTGAAAAGACCTCACTGGGGTCATTCCTTTCTTTCCTAGCTAATGATTTGTGTAAAGCCTGGTGGCAGGCCGGGTGGTAATTAGGGTTGGACATGTTCAGTCCATAGCATTTCCAAAGCAGAATGGGGAGGCTAATGGCATGGTGAAAAATAAGTTGCAATCTTTGCTTTTTTTCCTCACTGGATTAAAGAATCAATGCTCCTTAGGAAAGGAGTAGAGCATGTAAGAAAGGAGGCAGCCAGAGACAGAGCTTGAATTTGAACCTTAACTTACAAGGATCTTAGGTAGGGAGTATGGTGTGTTCTGTGACCTAGAGTTCTCCACTGTGGATACAGCTGAGCTGTCCATAAGGGATTATCACATGCAGGTTGACAGAGATGAGGAAAAGACAGGAAAAGAGATTCCTCCATTTTAATTTTTGATAAATGGATTACATAGAGTTACTTTTTTTCTTGTAAATGGTTGTATCTATCTGGTGTGTCTTTTGTCCATTGTGTAAGTAAACGAGTACATTCGCCTTCATGTTAACCTGGCAGGTAGAAAGAGTAATTTTATGATATCAAGATATTTCCTGTGGGTGAGATGCTCTGGAATATTGTTAAGATATCCTACATCTCTATACATTTCTCCAGGTATTCAGAGTCACAGAGGATTTCCTTTCTTCTAGTTAGCTGTGCTTTGGAGACTCATGTCACTCAGATTTGTTGGAGGAAGTGTCTTCCAGTGACCACTTGTGTGATACACCCCCAGGTAGCTGCAAGGTGTCAAGGAGAGCTCCAAATCTGAAGGACTATGTGGCTGAGGACCTCAGGGGCAAACATATAGACAAGGGAGTGAGAATGCTGTCAAAGTTATATATTGCAATGACCTTAAATATTGGTGGCTTTTTTTAAAAAAAAGTGGCTAAAACCATTGTTTAGGAAAGACTCAGCAAATCTTTTTACATCGAATTGTTTCCAGTTAGTTATTGGCTATTCCAAGTTTGGAATAATGAGACTTCAGTGAAAAGGAAAATAAAGTGGTTGAAAAAGATTTTTAAAGTGGAGGGATCTTCATTTATTTTCTCTCACTGCTTTTCTTCATGTTATTGATTTTATTTTCTGATGTTGTTCCTTGCAGAGAGTGAATCTGTCCTTCGATTTTCCATTTTATGGCCATTTCCTACGTGAAATCACTGTGGCAACTGGGGGTAAGTGGCTTTCTACCCATTCGCTTTGAGTAAGTTGAGAAGAATTTCTTGCAGCTATTTAAAAATACTTTCCCCTTCCTCCCCACCCCCCACGCAGGTGTCAAGAGATAAACTGCAGCATTTATTTAGGACATTTTGCTTTTCACAAAAAGAACATTACAAAATATCGATATGATGAAAAGCCTCCAGCTGCAAAAGCTAAGCTGATATGAAACCTTTTCAGCAGAAAATCTTATAGCATTAATCATTTCCTATTTAGGTATTTCTCCCAGTTATCTTTTACTTCTTTCCTTTTATGGCCAGAGCAGTTGCACTGGTTGTGGAGATAGTGTTGAAGCCAAAACAGAGAGGAAACCTCAGACAACAGGATAAACAGGTTAAGGCTGCTTGAGGTCAGGTGATATGGTCAGAAGATGATAAGTCAGTTGTAAGGTGAGCAAGGGGTAGTTTGCTGTGTTGGTGCAGCTTGCCTGTGGCAATGCCAGTAGTGTTCCAATCTTCCGTCTCAGGTGGAGAGATGGGAGGTATGAACTAGTCTGATCTCCTGTCCCTGTTGCGTTGGGTGCCCATGTGGCTAGGGCCAGCCGTTCTGCCACTGCTGTTTCTGCTGAGTTCCTGCCTTATGAATTTGAAAGAGCATGGAGATAGCAGAAGAGACAGAGGCAGGAGAAGCATCACAGTGAGGGCATCCAAAAGCATCCTGTGTTCCCTAAAGAAACCAACAATTTCACGGACTCTGAGTTCTCTACCTAGGGGTATGACAGGAGACGAGCCAGGAATAGGCACAACAAAAACTAGATCTATGCCCTCCTAGCACAGGGGACAAGGACATGGAGATCTCCTATCCCATTGGAGCTAGGAATGGGAGGAGTATAACTGGAAGTTTGGGGGATACTTATGGTCAGAGCCCCAACAAGAGTAAGAGCTGGGAGGGAAGCTGTAGTGTGATGTGCTTTGTCAGGGTCTCCATTTTGCTAACAAAACATCACAAGCTGGGGAGATAGATAGCTGTGAATAAAGATTGATATTAAATGGTTGATTTGCAATTAGAATAATGAAAATAGTTCTGAACTATGGTGTGTCTTCAATGTCAAGATTTTCCTTTCTTCATGACCACATGAGCCATGAGCTGTTGTTTGGGATTTGGAGACTTCTGTTTTCCATTTTGCTTAGCTTTTAGTTACATTTCAGTGCTTGAACGCCTAATTCTGTATTCTCCTATCAGACAAGTTATGTTTGATGTGGTGCCAAAATCAAGTGGATCATCTGAGTGCTGTGAAAGAACAGGGTGGAATGAATCCTATCTGCCAGCTGCAGAGAGCAGCAGTACTGAGGAACCATGCTCACCCTTATGAATGCCTCTTTGTCCTTGCTGCACAAGTTGGTTCCTTAGAACTTCACCAAGTTCTCTCTTTTTCCAAATGTCTCTTCTGTGGTTACTCTGCTCAGCTTATGAAAGCCCTGAGAAACTGATGACAGTTTTGCTACTGTCATCATGCTCCCTCTTCTATCATCAAAATTTGTGATTAAAGTTACATTCATAAGAGGAGCTGGGGCTTTGGGGGAGTTTTTGTTTTTTGTTTGTCTTTGTGTGTGTGTGTGTGTGTGTTTTAAGGGAGGGGAAGATGGAAGATGGCAGGAAGAATAGGGGGAAAGGGGTCTTTTTTTTTTCTTTTTTTTTGCAAATTTGGGAGTTTTGTTAATCATCTTATACTTTGCATCCTATAGTAAGGTGTTGGATAGTGATGAACTAGAGGAGATTACAGAGGGAATCTGGAGGTTAGATGAGGCTTTTTAAAAAATCATTTTAAAGAGACTTACACAAACATTTTGATATTCTGCTAATTTGTGAAGGAAACATAACTTGTTTTTGGTGTAGAGCATTTCTTGGGTTTTTTGTTTGTTTCTTTTAAGCATGTAGATGTACATGACTTGCTCTACTAGCTGCAACACTTCTACTGCTACTAGAGTTAATGGAACGGTGCATGATAATTTTGCTTTTCATTTAGTCCATTTCTAATGGCATACAACAATATTGCAGTGAATAGATACATGTCTACATGTTATTCTGTCAAGCTGCATAGAGCTTTAACAATATTTCCAGGTCACTGCATTAGTACAGAGTCACATCTGATTTTGATGTGATCCTTTCATGGTTAAGATCTTCATCAAGATCTTGGGAAACTAAGTTCTAACCTATAATTTCTTCAAAAATAGTATCTAGATTAAGCTCAATAATTTCAGTCATCCTATCCATCCATTTTTATGAAACTTTGAGATTTATAAGTGCCAGGAAAAGAAAGATATATTTGTGTTGTAACTCTCTGAGAACTCTTCTGCATTGGGTATATTTGCAGATGTTGTTACTGTAAGTCACCAGTGGTGCAGTGTGACTTGCAGCATGCCAGCAAATGATAAAGACAGTTTCCAGGTGTTTTTCCATGGTGTGGTTCTACAGTTTATTATTATTCAACTTTAAAAATGATATTTCTATTATTAGGGATCTGGAAGATGTCCAGAAGTTATTCTGAGATCAAAAGAATGACAAAGTTAATGTGCACAGGAATCCCACATGACAGATGTCCACTTCCTGGAGAACAGGACATGATTAATTATGTTAATGACAACACAACAAACTGCTTTTACCTCCCAGTCATGAATTAAATAGCCTTGTTAAAAGGAAAGTGGAAAACAATGGCACATTAAATCCCCATCACAGTAAAAATGTCTATGATGTCCTGCCTATCCAGTGGTTTCCGCTATTCTTCATGTAGGCTGCACTGTGACATAGCAGTGTTTGAGGGCTACTTAAGATGACTTTGAAACTGCCAGGGTGTAAAATTAAACTATTTTCTGTTTAATATTTATTTCCACTTCCAAATGGTTTTGCTGAGAGATTGTTATGCTCTTGACCAAAGAAGGGAAGAACAAAGAATGAAAATAACTAGTTTGTGGGCTTCATTTGTAAAGATCCTCAGCTTGTATTTTGACAAGGCTCTTTAATTCATAAGCAGGAGGTAAAATAGCTAATAATATTTTTATTAGCAAAATTTAGTAATTTGTGGTTCTGTGGGAAATTGGCATCTGTCTCCCAGGATTCCCACAGAGAGCATTTTTGAAGCAACCTCTGAAGAGCTCTCAAGGCCTTAAAAATAGCAGATAACACAGGAAAGCACTGAGTTTTGTTTCCTGTGAAGCTTTCCACAGTTTGTGCTTTACAGGCCACATGTTTAGATATTTCCGTAATAAACCCTGCAAACTGCCAGTTAGGTTTCTGTAGTGTGGCAAATGTCAAGGAGTAGAGCTCAAGAAACCCCTTTTGTTCCCACTCCCTGACACCCACCGCCAGCACGCGATGCCTGCGGGCTGGGAACAGTCCCCACTCTGTCCTGCAGTGCTCTGGGCAGAGATGCTGTTGTTTTCTCAAGAATCTGCTCTGCATCCTGCTCAACATGGGGCAAAACACAGCTGTTCCTGTTTGCTTGCATTAACTTCCAACACACATAGTAGTAACTCTTTTTTATTTGTTCTGTGGGGCTAATTTTGCTGTTTATCAGTCGACATTTTCTAGTGCCAGCACTGTGTTATGTACTGCGAATTATTTAGAAAACTTCTTTTTCCTTTTATGACATCTGTGTTCAGCTGAGCATTTCCTTATGGTATTGCTTTTGGTAGCAGCATTTCAGAGAAAGGTAGTGGCTAACCCAAAGTATTATGGATTTTCACTAAACCTTATATTTATTGCCAGGGATTAATAAGGTTCTTAATTTTCTTTATCTCCTATAATTAGCTCCTATACTTAGCACTGACCACAATAGTAAAGTTTTCAGCAGTAGTAGTACTGTCTAAACGTAACTAAAAGCTTTTATTGTATAAAAATATAATTTCTGTAGAGCTTGGACAATCCAAAGATAAAACCTAATACTAAACTTTGTTGGGAATCTAGGCCTCAGACTTTTCAACCCAGCAGATGTACCTTTAAAAGGATGGAGTGAGAGTAGGGAAAAGACATGTTAAAACAAAACAAACTTCTTGATGCCCCAAAGCTTACTCTGCTTATTGGTTTATTATAAAGGGCTGATAACACAGAAAATTTTGAGAATGTGTTCAAAGTGAAGCTTCATAAGGGATTAGGGCTGGAACTGGAATCAAATTTAAGACAGGAGCTGGAAGCTTGTTGCTGGACCCTCACCCATTTTCTAAGCTTCAGAATGGAGGTCTGTGAGTTGAGTTCATACATCTTCTGTATGTATCATTTCTCAATGTACGGTCTGTTTTGTAGACACAGTGTGGTAACAGAATGAGAACTCCATCTCTGTAGGTCTGGTAACTTATGGCACGGTATGATGGAGAAGCCATCGTACCAGCGTGCCTAGAAGCACAGGGGAATGCCACAGAAATCAATAGTATAGGTGTGAACGAGAACAGTGTTATACTGTTTTGGTGCTCTCTCTACTCTATCATGCGGATTATGATGATGAAAATGAGTGGGTTTCTGCAGCTAGGTGAAACTAAGTAAAGATAAAACAATGCAGAGCAAACACTTGTGGCAGGCTTCTATCCCTAAGCAAATGAACACACAAAAGAGCATATGTAGTAATAGGTAAGTTACACTAGGAAAAAACACAGGATTATAAAGGATGGACTATAAATTGAACAAGGTAGGAGCAGCCATGTTATATATACTAACCAAAGATTTCTGTCTCCTCCACCAACCTGTGAACATGTCAGTAACAGTCAGGATATTCCCTACAAGATCAGTCTGTAAGACACATTTTATAATATTTATAAGCATAACAAAAAAAAAGTTGCACCATTAAGAAGTAAAATATAACAGAAAAATAAATCAGTATTTGGTGAAGGAATACAAAAGGATCAAGATGACATGATTATTGCTTCAAGAAAGCTTAACTGATTCGTAGTTGGTTGATCATAGGTACTTCAAGAAGAGTTATTTGGATGAAAGTGCACAGAGTCTGAAATAACTCTGTCATACATTG